TCTTAAGCAGGAAGAGTGACCTTTCATTACTAATTCAGCATTGAGTGTTGTGCACTATCCTGGTTTATATTTCTTTCATTTTTAAAGTCAGTAAGATCAAAAGAGTCTACCTGAAATTTTCAAATTTCAAAATTCCCATCAGAATGATACTTCAGTGGCAGAGATTTTAATGGACGTAGATATCTTTATCTTTTTTAGCAACTGCATTGGTGACAATTTGTATGACTGTAGTTGGCTGACGTAGTTGGCTAATTCAGGCTCAGCTAGAAATATTGACACAGGAGCAGTAAGCTTTGTGAACAGATTGCCCCAGTATTCACACTGGGTCTTGCCATCCATTGCAGCCGGTGCCGAGGGCTTTGCTGTCCTGTCTGTCCTGTTGTCTGGAGCTAATGAGCTAGTTTAAGCTCACTGGGGTCTTGCAAAGTGAATGTGTTCCAAAACCATTCTTGGGAAGACTTCATAATGTTAGTTCAATCAAAAAGCATCCAGAAGAACATTAACTTAGCCAAAAAGGAATTTTTTTTTTAAGGTTAGAAACAGCTTTTAAAAATAAAAACACAGCTAAGCTCACTGGGGTCTTGCAAAGTGAATGTGTTCCAAAACCATTCTTGGGAAGACTTCATAATGTTAGTTCAATCAAAAAGCATCCAGAAGAACATTAACTTAGCCAAAAAGGAATTTTTTTTTTTTAAGGTTAGAAGCAGCTTTTAAAAATAGAAACACAGCACAATGTGTTTGCAAATGCAAGTGACTACTAGTCCTCCATCAATTTTTACATTTTAAAAATCTCGGTGCAGTGTTAAAAATATGAAAAATGTGCATTTAGCCAAAGGGGAGAAAATAGTTCAACTAGTGGGTAGAAGAACTATTTCCACAAAGTCATAAAATACTTCCTTGGGTGTCCTTTCAAATGAAAGGTGCTGAATTCTGTGAGGAAGAATATAAAATTTATGAAAAATGCCCAGACTTGGAGTCATGTCATTTTAACATGATACACTCAGCTCCATTTCAGTCATCTTGGAGTATGCTTGTAAGAGATCTGTAAAAAATATTAAAAGAAGAGATCTGCTTAAAAGATAACTTTATGTTCCCTTCCCCTTTGTGGTTGTTGGGTTTTTTTGGTTTTGGTTGTTTTTTTTTCAGTTCAGGATGTATTTTAATACATTTAAGAGTGGGGAAGTAGAGTTGCTGCAAGGAAGCAGAGTAACTAAGGAGAACTATGTGCCTGCAGCATTTATCGTAACACATACCATGCTGGCTAGTCATATGAAAATTCATTTCCCGAGACCTCTGTGAATGCCTTTGTTCAAAGCTTTGCATAATTGTATGTCATTCTCCGGAGCTGCCCTACCAATGCTTCAATGTTATCTATTGTTGAATGTCAATTGTTTAGAAAACGCACCCGCTGGGAGGAGCGCATGATTTCACTGCAGTAGCAAACTCATCGGTGGCCACAGGAAGTAGTAAGCATTATTTAAAAACAAACAAACAACAAACCAAACCCTAAGAATTTACTAGCAGCTATGCTCTGTTTGTGTGGTTCGTAACACTAAAGCTATAGTATCTGTGGGGGTCATGTTGGAAGCCATCAGGATAACAGTTTAAGTCATCAGCTGTATTCTGTCTCTTGGGCTTTTCAGTTGAATTTTTGTTTGTTTGTTTGTTTTTAATTTTTAAAACTTTCTGAGGTGATGTATGCACTTGCTTGTTCTGTTTGGGAAGGGAAGTAGATGAAACACCTGGCCTTAAACACCTGGGGGCTTGTGAATTTTACTAGTGTATTATTGTATTGATGAAATATACTTTATAATTAAATATGTTGTGCAGATGGCTCTCCTCTTGGGCAAGTGTTTGCCCTGCTGGCTGGTTAAGTTTTAAAGAAGTCACTTTGTTCCAAAGCAAAAAAAAATTAAGATAATAGCCATAGCAGAAACCTGTCACCAGAATTTTCAGCTCTTGAATTGTGGCCTTTGGTGACTGCCCGAGGAGATGCCTTCCTTTTTACCATGTTTGTGCCGGTGGTGGGATGAGTTGTCTTCATTCTTAGAGGTAAATAGCGTGCGAGCAAGCTAAAGGAAGATGTAACGACCTCTTTCCTCGTAAGAGAACTTGTGATCTGGGTTGAACAAGAGCAGATTTTGTACTGTTCTATATTGTCTTTCTTTGGTAAATGTCGGTAATTGATGTGATGGCTTGATTAATCAAATGAAGGCAGAGACAAGGATTTTGTTGTCCGCAGAAGTCGGACAATGAGTTTGCAGGATGGGAGAGTGAGGTGGTTTTCTGGGAAACTTGCTGGCCTTGCTGTGCAGAAAAGTCTTCATGCTTTACCTATTACACCTAAATTAGCCCACTGTAAATTATCCCTCTAACATGAATCTTACTATAAAAATTCTTTGGCGTTAATTTAGACCCATACCCCTGCCTTTCTTTTTCTGTTTCTGGCAAACCTCTAATTCCTGCAGTTTCTTGGAACAGGTGGTGTGAATATTTAAAGCTTATTCTGTCGGTTATGGCAGCAGAGTTGTCTTGCTCTGGCAGTAGTGTTATGTGTATCTGTACTGGATGCATAAAATCTTACAGAAGAAAAAGTTCCTGTCCCCTGTCAACCTACGATTGAAAAATAAGTGGTTTTGACAATTAATATACAGCAGGGTGATCACTCTTCCTAATTGCACGATGTGGAGAGAGTAGCACAGCGTAGATACCGCGGAAAGCCAGAGGGAAGAATGGTAGAGAAGAGTAAATGTAGGTCACTACAGTCGATGTGGCAGCCTGCAGGGGACGTCAGCCCTGACATCCCGCTCGTGCCCTTCCCACTGCCCTGTCAAAGTGAGAGGCAGCGCTTGTTAGAAGAGTGTGTGCTGCCCAGACAGCCGGTGCTTACCCATGTCGTGAGCAGCTCGGTGCTCGGGCTCTGGGCTCGGGCTGCTGCGGCTGATCAGGCTGATCTGCCCTGATCACTGGCAACAGCCTAACGTGAATCTGTCAGAAGGTAAGAGCGGTCACATTGGCTCCTTCCAGCCTGCAGACAGTCCGTGGGGATGGGCAGGGTGACTCGCGCATTTGGTGAGCCAATAAATGCGGTGTCCTCGTTTTGACTTGTCATAAAGAGATTTACGCAGAGATTAAGCCATAGATGGGTTATGACAACCAGCCTCATTGGCTCATTCCCTGTCCCCTACCCATGCCACTGCAGGCCCTGTGTATTGGGTTTTTTTGGTGTTTGCTGTAACGTGCACAAGGAGGAATCATGAGAATTTCAGTTACTGTCAAGGAGGTCTGGTTATGAATTTTAACTCTGAAAGACGTAGTTGTAGAAGATGCAGTAGTTAAAGCAAGAATCATAATGTGAAACGTTTGTTTCAGTAGGAGCAAGTGAATTGTGTTAAAGTTGTTCTGACTTGTTTTTGCAACAATCTGTCTGTTGTTACCTACAAATAAACTATCGGGGTTGGGAAGACACAGGGAAGAAGTGTCTGGCCTGCAAAAAGAGTATAGCAAAATCCTTTTATAATTTACCCTTCAAAGCAAAATACCTTGCTACTACACAGGGAATTTCTTCAACACCTTGTTTACACTGTAGCTGCAGCACATTGAAACCCTGCTGTGGAAGCACTGTTGATTTCCTTGGCAGCTTACACCAGTTACTGCCCTGGTATCAGTGGATTTATTCCAGCAGTATCTCGGAGATGACCGAGATGAATAAACTTGGCCTCATCAGAACTGATTAAAAACAAGAATATTGGTGAATATTGCATATGTGTTTTAAGACTTTGTTTGGCATTTTACGTATGCTTAAGTTCAAGGCAATAAATTTGGCATTTTACACGTTCTAAGTTCAAGGCAATGTGCTCACTGACCTCAGAGGCAGTTGGAAGCATTACAGCACTCATAAAATAGTCAAATTTGACCCTGGAGGCAGAGAAAGCACAAGATATTAGCAGCAATCTCTGAAAGATCTTGTTACACTTGGTTCCTTGTCACAGAATCCTCCTGTGATGCTGAGGAAGGCCAGAATCCAGATACTGGGGCAACATTGCAATAGTCTTAACCACAAGACAGAAAACCTTACTTTCCAGCCCAGGCTTGTTTTTTCAGCTCTTCTCAGCCTTTCTTTCATCCTGCTGTTTCTGTGACAAGAGTGGACAGAGTCCTGAAAACAGTGGCCCAAGTATTTTATATGCAACCCCAATTCCCTGTCAGTGGGAATTCACTGTGTGCACTAAAAAGATATGGGTGCCAGGTGGAATACTCTATGTGATCATGTAATTAAGGACTTTTCCTTAATGTGTATGCTTAAGGGGAAGAATGAGAGTTCTTATAGGAAGTTTTATATCCTATCTTTTGTGCAATATAATTTTTTTGAGGTAGTGTATGTTGTAGGCAACTTCCTACCAATTTAAAAAAGTAAGCAAGCTGGAAAAAAACAATGGCATTAATGCACTTCCTTTGCAGGGTTAGAAGCTGGAGATTCATGGCCGAGATGTCTGCTGCTTTATTTCATACAGCAGCTAATACA